CGTTCTTAGTTAAACAACATCGTTTCCTTGTCTCACGATGTCGTTGAGCTTTTGAGCTTAGCGACTTTGTTTTAATTTTAACACTGTCGTTTTAACTGTTGCGGCATCGTTTGACCTACTCGCGGTATTGCTTTATAATCCGCGGTGTCGTTTCTTTCCTCTTGCGGCATCGTTTTCAACTAAAGGACACCGTCCTAAATAATTATTAACAATATTAGGTAATTAATCCGGCCATCACAAGTCAAACTCGTGTGCTGACCAACGACATCATTAGCGCCAAAACGGCTTCGTCTGCCTTTCCCTTTGCGACATTGTTTTGTATTTAAACACTGTCGTTTGCTAATCAGTGGTACCGTTGGGCTTACTCGCGCTACCGTTTTTAATTAAACGACACCGCTGGCACAACCAAAAAATACCAGTTCCTTGAACAGCCGCGTGTTTACACTCACTCGCAGTGGGCTGGGCGGATTTTGGTCACTTACCCGATATGGTTTTTTGATTAATCGGTACCGCTTATCAGGCTCTGGCGGCATCGCTTTTAAATCCGCGGTGCCGCTTATCTCCATGCGGAATCGATTTTCCCCTTCCGACAAGGAGTAAAAATAATAATAATTAGAATTAAAAATTCCTTTTTTCAACCCCCAACCAACCGCGCTGCCCCCTTTTGTTTTTTGGCCAACAATGTCGTTTCCAGTGCCGCGGTACCGCTGGACTTCCTTGCGGTACCGTTTTTCTGTTTCGCGGGATCGTTTCAACTCCCCGCGACACCGCTTTTTACCCGCGGTATCGGATTAAATGCCGAGACTAATTAATGCGGCATTTAATTCCGGCCAAATTAATTTTAGGTGTAAACAAATGCCCCCCACAATTTGGTTTATAAGAATTATGAACCAAATTGTTAACATAGTCCACAACACCTAAAATAACTTTCAAAACAACACCTGCTACATACAAGAACAACATCGCAATCACAGGCTAAAAACTTGGTCTAGAACATTGCCGAATTGAACCAAGTGATGGCCACTGCTCCTTAATTTTCATGCCCATGCAACAACGTTGCTAAGCCATGCAAAACTGCGGGGCCAAAATTGACCTGCATCATTGCCAAATTAATTTTCATGCCCATGCAACTACGTTGGCGAGCTTGCAACTCCTTTTTTATTTTATTTTTGGGGCAGTTCGCGATTCGCACCAATCCCGCAAGCAAATTTCCGCAGGGCTGCTTCAGCGAAATGGCATTTGATTTTTTTTTTTTTTTATTCATTCAGGGCTGTTTGGCCGCCCCAGCCGCAGCGCTGACTCCTTCCCCTTTTTTATCTCAGACCTGGCGGCCTCTTCCCTCAAAGCCATTAATTATTTTTTTTTCTTACCGGGGCTATCAAATTTCCGCCACAACCGCAACGCTGAGACTTTCTTTTTTTTTTATCATCAGCGCAGTCAGCAACAGCGACAGCTCTGCATGCAAAATTCTTTTTTTTATAGTTCATCATCAATGTCGAAAATTTGCTCTACCAGCACTGAGTAACCACCATTCTTCTAAAACAACGTCGCGCCGCCGCCTTTCGTTCTAACGGCAGCGTTTCGTCACATATTTTCCCTTGAGATAGGCTTCCCAGCAACGTTGGAGTCCCCTTTCGCGACATTGCGGGCCTGCGGCACTCCAAAGCATTGGCGTTTTTTACGTCCACGCTAGTCATGTTGCTTCATACCTCCCTCGTAGTCTATAACGAAACAAACAACCACCCAATTTTTGCAACTCCATTTTGGTTCGCTCTTCTCGACGCGGCCGCACTGTTGTGCCGGGCATGCTCGTTTGTTTAAGACACAACAACAATCATATGGGACCGTTGGATCCAAATACGTTTCTGCAAGATTTAAACGCAGCTGCTTGTGTGGCCTCGCAATACTGTTTGTCTAGCATTTCACTAATGTGATTTTTACATACCTCTTCATGCGGCCATCACACTAAAATAATATATATATATATATATATATATATATATATATATATATATATATATATATGACAACACCGCTGCACAGCTTTGCAGCTCGGTTTTGCCCGAAAGCAGCCGCGTTTTGAACCTTTTTCCTTTTAACCACATCGTTAAAACCACTAACCAGCATGGTCTCTCCCAATCGTGTAAACACACGAAGCTGCAGCGCTGTTTTTGTCTGTAAAAAAAACCCAACATTGTTGCCAAGCAAACTTGCGGCAAAGAAGGTAGGAGTGAGTGAGTGACCTTGTTGAATTTAACTTTGGTTTGCAGCGTTGTTTAGTCTGCACCACTGTTGTCGCCAAATTCAAACCAAACTACAACAACCTTGCATCCCTGCGATGCTGCTTGGGCCAGAGTTGATTTTTTTTTTTTTTTTTACATACTTGGCCCACATGCGACGACAAGTTTCCCGCCTCAACAACACCGGGCCACCAGTCCTGGTCCGGCTCCGCAATGCTGCTTTGGCAAAACTAAAAGTCAAATTCGCGGCACTGCTCCCTTTCTCCTACCGCGCTGTGGATGATAGAACAGTAGTGTTTTCCGTAGACTTACTCCAATTCATCTCCGCACTGTGCAGTAGCCAAACAAAGTTGTTTTGGCCAATTTTCTATTCGAGGCAACTTCAAAATATTGGTTGTGCCATGCCAAGTAAGCCTCCGTTTTTTATTAAATCTTGGCCAAGAGCATAATTTTCTATTATTATTTAATTTTGGCCAAATATAATCTCCTCACCATTTTGATTTAACGGCTCGTACCTGCCGTGTTGCTTCGGCAGCGTTGGTGGATCTCTAACTTGAGATCCTATTCCCTTCCAACGTTGTAATCCCAAACCAAAAGGGACACTACTTCTTTCTACCCCGTTGCGGTGATTCCCAATAAATAGGTCACCCGTGCCAACCCTAAACTTATCCGAGTTCAAACAACAAAACAAAACTTCACCCAACAACGATTCGCTCAAACCGTACCTCAGATTTCTGCGCAGCCGAAGTCACTGCCATGTCATTGCAAGGATTTTCTTCGATCACCGAGTATGTCCTGCGATCTTAACTTCGCATTGATATTGAAGCTGTATCACTCCCCTTAACGATGTCATCTCTAGCCGTTTACACACCTGTTTTTGGTCTAGCGAGCGGCCACCACCGCATGTTTGACTATCACTAACCTAAACTAACTTCTTTGTGAATGCAGCCTCGACGCGTTTCTCCTCCCGTTATCTCCGGGGGAACGACGTGACCTTATGGAAAACATGGCCAATGCTGATTTCACTCTCGAGACGATATCGAGAGACGATAATGAGGAGGGCTGGCTTGGTCCACTCATTCGTGACTGAACCACTGCCATCATAGAGTTATTGGACGTTTTTTCAATTCACCACTCTCAGCTCCTGTTTCGTCTCCTCGTTATCAGCCCACTCTTTAAACGGAAGACCCGAGCACTCCCGTTGGCCATCCCGGATCCAGACTTTAAATGTTGGCATGGTCAGTTGGCCGCTGATGCAGCAACTGCATCTCAACGGCAGGCATTAGGCCTCGACCGATTTCTTTCCCTATGTTTGGAGCTGCCGAAACCTGATCCTGAGTTGTTCAAAGCCGCTATCTGCTTCAGGTCGACGGATTCGAACTGTTTCGTGCTCCCTCTAGGATCGATGACGATCACTCTGCTCGACATAGCGGCCGTGACTGGTATATCAAAGCCGCGTGTGCAATCAAAGAGAGCCTTGGATCCAACTTCATTGATAGCCTTCGGCCGATCTTACAAATCACTCTACAACAGCAATGCACCACTCATTCCTGGTGAACCTGTATCCGACAACGAGCGGGTGGCCTTCCTTCATTACTGGTTTGGCCGATTCGTGCTTTGCACCCACCGACCCCCCACGGATGCGCATACCACCTCTGCGCTCTTCACCGGCGAATGTGTCAATCTTGATGAAACTGTGCTCTGCCACCTCTATCGCGACATGTATACCATCGTTAACCGTGTCAAGGAGGCTACAGACGAAAGTGGCATCCTCAGTGCTGGACCTCTATGGCTACTACAACTTTGGCTGCATGCTTATTTCCCGGCGACTCGCGGCCCTCTACCACAGACGGCAGTTCAAGAGACCACCATGCTCACATATGGCCATTGTTTGGCTAAAGCGGCTTCGCGAAAAGGGGATTTTACTAATTATTTTACCTTCTTTTATGAGGCCGGAGAGATTCCCAGCTTCACTCCTTTTGCAGAACGGGTATTCAGCCCCGCTTCATTCAAACTCATTTTTGACGAGCCACCACCGCGTGGTGCTCCCACTTACCATGAATTCCTCGAGGAGCACAAACGTCACCTAACATCTCGGGACCTCCTCTTTGCTACCACCGGCTCCGAAGTACTCAGCATTGAAACTTACAACCCTCAACTTGCATCTCGACAATTCAGCCTTGTTCAAGCATGGCCTATGTTACCTCCCTCGTCTTTGAATTTTCCAAAATTTCACCAACGACCCCCAGATCTTACCGAGGGACGAATTATGGAGGTACGAGGACACCAGGAATCCACACAATACTTTCCTCCTCATAAAAATGTGGTGAATAAAGTCTCGCCCCAATTCAAGGATGCATGGAATTCACTGGCATCACATATTTTTGGCAAGCCGTTATCTGATATTCTCGCCCGGCTTGCTCCTGACCACGATGATGGTTCAACCACGACAGCATTCGATACTCTCTCGAAACGGCGAGCATGTAAAACCCTCGTCCCTAGACTCCTCCTTATGCTTGCTGTGACATTCATATTTCAACTCCCGCCTTACTTAAAACTTCAATTGTTGCAGTTCTTGAGAGTCGTCATCCATTAACTCGCCTCCCTCCATCTCTTCGCAGAGCACCCATCGAGGTTAGCATTACCCATACTTTTTTATCCTACCCGACCATCTTTTGGATAACTTCCTTCCCACACCCTTGCCTCCTTTTGCAGGTAGACACCGACGATTTTGATATCTAGCACAATCCCAACACCGCGATGGAATCATCTAGGACCTCTCTCCCCGCGCCGTCTCCACCTACGGCTGGGCTTCAACACCAAGTCCAAGAAGCATTGAAGATGATGGATCAATTTCTTAGCATTCCTATGGTGACTTCCATGAATGACCAAACCATAGTATGGCTCGGCTCTGCTTGCAAGACTCTGGAGACTTTGAACATTAACATTCCACCACTTAGTGCTGCTGACATGACGTTCCTCCGCATGGTGGGTAAAGACCTAGTGAAACGCGGGAAAGCTGTGGAACCAGCTTTGCAAGTGGCTAGAGCAAGTACAATGCCTACTCTCCCAAAGGGGCTGAACAAATGCGACGTGAGAAAGCAGCCCGGCTCGCCACTGACCCCACTCGTGCGGAGATAGAAGCGCAGGTTGAGCTGCAAGCAGCGCAAAGCTTTTTCACTCGGGTCTGCACTACTGTATCCCGCATTTCCCAGCAGCTCACCGATTACGAGCCGTCTGACTCCTAGAGAATTTCTTTTCTACATTTTGGAATTTACCTCGAATTTTTGTTTTGGCATCGTTTCTCGGATTGCATACTCTTATTTGCCATGTTAACTCGACCTATAAACAACTTAGTTTGCTCATCGTCGTTTATCGGATTTTGGCGGACGATTGCTCTCTTTTCCTTAATCCGTAGCGCCGCTCTAAACTCGACGACCGTGCTTGAGCATGGCTGACTAGCTAGTTCTAGCCACGATAGCCTTCCTACTTTTCTTATGCCAAGTACCAAATTGTCAACAATGTTACCCATGCCTACTTCTCATGGCTAAAACAGCTTCATTTGACAAGATAGGAACATTTTGGTGCCGAACAGCGGTATCACACCAGCTGGACTCGAATGAACCCTGCCGCTGGCCTTAAAGGCATTAAAAAAAATTGTATTAATAACGGAGTTGGAAAATTAGTGTATTTGTTGTGTACTTTGCCATTCCCGTACTATTCAACCACGTTGTGCAAGCTTGGTGGCCGCCGAGGCCACATCCTTTTAGCACATGGTTGATCGTCATTGCCCAGATTAATGACCAGTTGCGTCCCATAGGGACGACACATATGAATTTAAATATTTGCCATTTATCAAATGCTCATGCACCACTACATCTAAATCTTTCAGCAGGTATGCTCCATTAGGACGCACAGAATGTACCACAAATGGTCCACGCCAATTCGGCGACCATTTTCCAAACTTGGGATCTTTTTCCCCAATCGGCAAGTGAGCTTTCCAAACCAGTTCGCCCTCCTCGAATGATTTGTGCCAAACCTTCTTGTTATACGCCCTTGCCACTCTTGCTTTCTACACTCGAACATTATCGAGGGCGCGGAGTTGAAGCTCATCAAGATTGTAGAGCTCAAGCATCATTGATTCATGATACTCCTGAGGTGTTAACTCGTGGTGCTTCATATATCGGAGTGAGTTGACGGTCACCTCCACGGGAAGGAATGCTTCCTGACCGTAAGTTAACGAGAATGGACTCACTCTCGTACTGCTCCGTGGGGACATCCAGTATGCCCACAACGCTTCTGATAAAATTTCATGCCAACGTCGCGGATTATCCTCTATCATCTTCGTCAAGATATTTTTCACGACCTTGTTGGATGCTTCCGCCTTTCCGTTAGCTTGTGCGTAATACGGCGTGGAATGGATGATTTTTATCCCCCGCTCCGCCGCGAACTCCATAACTTGCCCCCTAGTGAACACCGTTCCTTGGTCCGCCGTTATTGTTGCTGGCAAACCAAATCGATGAATAATGTGTTCTTGTATGAAAGAAATTACTTCCTCTTGGTTCGCCACCTTCAACGGTTTGGCCTCCACCCACTTAGTGAAGTAGTCAGTGGCCAAAATTATGAAAACATGTTTTTCGACGATGGAGGATAAATCATACCAATCAAATCCATGGTCCAACCATAAAACGGCCTCGGTTTGACTATGGATTTCAGATCCACCGCGTGCGCTCTTTGAATGGGACCGTGACGTTGACAAGCTTCGCAACCCTTGGCATACGCGGCACAATCTGGCCCGATCGTGGGCCAGTAGAATCCGTAGTGATGTAGAATCCATCGCATGGAAGGACCAGCTTGGTGAGCTCCGCATATTCCTGCATGCACTTCTGCCATGGCTTGCAATGCCTTCTTGCCCCCCAAGCATTTCAACAATAACCCATCAGGTCTGCGTTTATACAAGGTCCCATCCAAAACTACGTAGCTCCTTGCTCTAAACTTGACGGCATGGTCAACAACCTTGTTTGGATCTTGCAAGTAAGACAACAGTGGTGCACGCCAGTCGTCGGCGTCTTTCTCTATTACGCAAACTTACTCGACTCTCAACCGCTCCCGCAAGGCCGTGATCTCGGCCTCCACCACCTTTTCTCGAGGTGGTTCACTCATCATTGACTTGTTCATCAGCTTTCAGTGGACCATCCAATGTGATCATTGATGGTTTCACGATTTTGGACAATGGGTCCAAGCACACCTTACTCAACACCTGCGCACTTGACACTATGACGTTGGGCGTTCCTCCATCCCCGCTCCAGATTTCTAGTGGTCCAAAATCCCCATGGTACAAGTAAGCTTCGGCCACATTGCCCTTAACGGCAAACGGCTTTGCGTCAGCCTGGACCACCTCAACGATACCGTCTTCATTCCAGAGCATCAAACACTGATGCAGCGATGAAGGAACGCACTTGTTGGCGTGGATCCAATCCCGACCAATTAGTGCGTTGTAACTTATCATTCCATCCACCACGAAGAAAGCACTCATCCGCTTGTGTGATCCAACTCCCACGACAACTGGGAGGATTCCCCTGGCAGAAGTGGACCCGCCATTGAAACTTGTCACAAACACTTCCGTTGGGATCAAGTCATTAATGTTCTTGCCCAACTTCTTCAGCATCCTTGTTGGCATCACATTTACTGCGGCACCATTGTCAACTAAGACTCTCGACATTGGTACGTCATCAAGTGTGGCCTTGATGTAGAGAGGCCTCAAATGCCGCATCATCTTCGGGTTGGGCTCGTTGAAAACAACGACCCTGTTCTATTCTTCACCCGCGGTTCCTTCGTCCATGGCTTTCCCTTTCGCCTCTGCAGCTCGGATAGATTTCTCCAGTTCGTCGAAGTCTGACCCCCATGTGATGTTCTCCACTGGCACACTTGTTGACTCTTTCATGCCTTGGTATAACACGTAAAAATGATATCTTCCCCCATCTTTGCCCAGTAGCCCAAAAGCTTTGTGGCCTTCTTCATATAGCTCTTTCAGGATCTGCTGTGAACTCTTGTTATGCTTGGCTGACTCTACTGCAAGTGAATTCGACCATTCGTGCGAGCCATCATTGCACTCCACGGCTCAGCCTCTATTGGCAAATCCGCGGACTCGCCAACCAGCTCTGCCACTGCTGGCTCCTCATCCTCTTCCTCTAAAGTCAGTTGAGCGAAACCGCTCATCAGTTCAGCAACGTTGACCTCCTGAGCAGCTTCGTCCAGTTCTTTAACTTCCATCACGACCTCGCCATCCTCTCCCTGATTTTCCAAATCAATGTGGAAGATCAAAGGCAAGATGTAGTTGTTCACCACCACCGGTGGTAGACTTCCAAACTAGATCGTCATGGGAGCACCCTGGTTGTCATCATCGTCATCCTTGTGTTTTTGATCAAATTTCGACTTCGGCTCCTCCAATTCCAGCATCTCCTCCTCGATAAAGGAGTCATCCACTTCAGCATCGTACTCGGCCTCTCCCGGAACTCCCTGATCGTTCCCATCCCGCTTGTCCTCTCCAACTTTTCCAGCACCGGCCACAGTCACTCTCAGACCCGTGGTAGAGTTATCCACGTTCACATTTGCTTGCAAGTTTGCAATCCTCCTTCCTTGAGCATTCTTGCGGAGGTACCTTCGATACTGCGTCCTTGTCATCTCGTCAACGGCGATAGGCTGTTGACGACGGACATCGTAGGTGTGCCAACCACCCTGTGGCACATTTGGCATCCTGAAAGTTCTCCTGACAGGTGAAGGACCCCTCACCAGTTGGGCAAGTCCAAAAGGCAGACTTTTGAAAGGTGGGGCACTTTGAGCAACCCACTATCTACGTTGCCCTCTTCCCCATGCAGGTGCACGTACTCCCTCGACATTGCGTTCATATGAGGGGTACCTCGGTTTGAACCGTCGTGGTCCCAATCTCTGGTGGACCCACTGGCTTGGTCCTGCTCCCCCAATGTTCAGCTTTCCACGACACTGGGCACGGAGTTTCTCTTCCTCGGTTGGGTCCAAGCGTGGCCCCTCCTGCACTTGGGAAGATGAAGCTCCCTGGGCCACATCAGAACTACCACTCGGCGGTGGCGTTGTATTCACCACCAGCTCGAAGCGCGGCAGGTTGATCTTAGAGAAATCGGGATTGACCATGTTCACACCGACCACGTTTGGAAAAGGGTCTGTGTCAACAATCATGACCTCCTTCCTCGGCTCTGGGAACCTAAACCGACCCTTCTCAATTGCATCCTACACAACGTTGCGAAACACAACACACATGTTAGTTGAATGAGATGCACTGTTGTGCTATTTACAGTATCGTTTCCCTTTTAACTTTTCAGCTGGCGCGATTGTATGCCCCCCAGTTAACTTAATTTGACCATCTTTGTAAAGCTGGTCGAAAATCAACTCTGATTTTGAAACATCAAAGGAATATTTCCTAGTTTGAATTGGACCACAATTGGGCTTTCCACCTTGTGGTTCCCCATCGGCCTTGGCCAGAGAAGCACACACATATGGCTCCCATGCACAATCTCGGCCAAATCAACCTCAACCTCGTCAACATCACTGCCGACGTTATTCACACCATAGTTTTCAAAATTAAGGAAATATTGTCCACGAGAACTACTCCTCTTATGTTCTTCTTCACGAAGAAGAGATTCGTATCTAACAGCGCAGGACATCAATTGAAATAGATCGAGGAACTCCCTATCTTGAAACTTTTTACAAAGTTCAAAATTCAATCCACCCTGGGCAAGTTTGACAAACTCGCGTTCTGTCAAGTTCACAAAACAGCGATTTCTTGCATTTTTAAAGTTAGTTAAGAAGTGTTCCACCGTTTCTCCTGGCTGTTGGCGCATTCGTGCCAAGTCTGCCATGGTTACTTCTGGCTCAGAACGGTAGAACTGGGCATGAAACATTTGTTCCATTTGCGGCCATGTTTGAACCGAGTTTGATGGTAAGTTGACGTACCACACAAATGCGAAACCGGTCAACGAGTTGCCAAACAAACGTAACTTCAAGAAATCACTTACATCACCACACTGAACTGTGAATCATCCAACGTGCTCGACGGTAGACTGATCTCTAGTCCCGCTGAAGGTGATGAAATCAGCTACGCGAAA